GCTGAATGGAGGAAGGTTTTTCGCTAAACTGGATCTAGCTGATGCTTATTTGCAAGTGGAAGCAGATGAAGCATCAAGAGAGCTGTCAACTATCGATACCCATCATGGTTTGTTCCAGTATAACCGTCTACCTTTCGGGGTTAAAACTGCCCCATCTATTTTCCAGCAACTAATGGATACCATCCTATCAGGTATCTCGGGAGTCACGGCTTATCTGGATGACATTTTAATTGTAGCAACAATATTAGAACAGCTACGAGAATGCACGACATTGATACTGCAACGCATCAATGACAACGGGTTCCGGTTACGCCCAGAGAAATGCCAGTTTTATTTGCAGTCGGTAAAGTACTTGGGGTTCATTTTCGATGCTGACGGCTGCAGACCGGGTCGTGGGAATATCCGAACTATCAAACTGATGCCCACTCCCACTAATGTTTTGGCACTACGTTCCTTCCTGGGACTTGTCAGCTATTATTCAGCGTTCGTTCCATCGATGCATGATATTCGCGCTCCACTGAATAGCTTACTGCAGAAGAACAGCTCTTGGAACTGGACTAAACAGTGTGATGCGGCATTTTGTAAACTGAAGTCCATTATTTGTTCGGAATTGCTGTTGACACACTACAATCCAGCCATGCCGATCATCGTAGCTTCAGACGCTTCAGCGTATGGCCTAGGCGCTGTTATCTCACATCAGTTTACGGATGCGTCGGAAAAAGCCGTTATGCATGCATTCCGCACACTAACCCCAGCAGGAAAAAAATACAGCCAGATAGAAATGGAGGCTCTTGCGCTTGTGTTTGCTGTGCGCCGTTTCCACAAGTTCCTGTATGGTCGGAGATTCACCCTTCTCACAGATCACAAGCCTTTACTCGCAATATTCGGGTCAAAACCTGGCATTCCAGCTTATACTGCAAATCGTCTTCAGAGATGGGCCTTAGCACTCTTGGGGTATGATTTCAAGATCCAATACTGACGCACTCAACAATTCGGATGCATTATCACGACTCATTAGTGACCAGTTGGCGGCTGAGGGAAACATTGTAATTGCATCTCTGCTGGCGGAAGACCACACCGATGGTGTCTGACGACCGCAAAACGAGCTTTGCCGGTATCTGCAATCGACATACAAAATGCTTCTAAGAGCAACTTCGTCATCAAGATGATTATGAGCTATGTCACCAACGGTTTGCCGTCTAAGAAGTTTGATGGTAACATGAAACAGCTGTATCATCAGCGGAATTCGCCATGCATTGTAAACGACTTCTTGATGTTCGGAGAAAGAGTGGTTGTGCCAAAATCCCTTCGTGCAAAAGCGCTGAAACAGTTCCACCTTGGTTATCCGGGGGTTAGACGAATGAAATCCATAGCCAGGAGTCATGCACATTGGCCACTAATGGATCAACATATAACAGAATCGGTTGGAAAATGTATTCGGTGTCAGCAAGCGGCAAGAGTGAACGCAAAAGTTTCACCAGTTTCATGGCCACAACCTGATCATCCTTGGTCCAGGATACACGTCGATTTTGCAGGCCCGATTAACGGAACCATGTATCTAGTTTTAGTCGACGCCCTTTCGAGATGGCCAGAAATCAACCCTATAATACCACCAACGACGACTAAAACAATACAAACCCTCACAGAAATTTTCTCCCGAAATGGTATACCGGATGTCATCGTATCTGACAACGGTTCCCAGTTCACCTCAAGCCAGTTCCAGTCATTTTGCCAACGGCTGGCCATAAAGCACTTACGGTCTCCACCATACCACCCGCAGTCGAATGGGCAAGCATAAAGGTTTGTGGATACGTTTAAAAGAGCTTTGGCTAAGACAAAAGGGGAAGGGACGCCAGCGGACGCGTTGCAAAATTTCTTATACATGTACCGAACAACACCAAATGAGGCGTTGCCAAAGCGAAAGTCCCCAGCAGAGATCCTCATGGGAAGAAGACTGAAGACGATCCAAAGCCTGATGCATCCAAGTAATGCACCGACACCAGAACGGACAAAGTTTGAAAAGCGATTCACGTACGAAGTGGGATGTCCTGTGTTTGCCCGTGACTACAGACCAACCCATGGTCCATGGACGGAAGCGAGAGTGGTTAGAAGAGTTGACCGAGTCATGTACGAAGTGGAGGTAGACAGCGACACGTGGCAACGCCATTGGAATCAGTTACGCAAAGGGTTAGCCTCAGACCGCCCATCAACCGAAGCAAATATTCCTCTAGACATCCTGATAAACACCTTCAACTTACCTGCAACCCCACCACAGGAAAAACCTCAACCACAAGCTGAAACACGTTCCAGACGGTGGCCTCTACGACAACGGCGAGCAACGGTCAGGATGCAGGTCGACCCCAGGAAAGCACGCTATTAAAAAGGGAAGGAGTGTTGGGGACGATCGATACCTCAAAACTCATATTTTGTAATTTTATCTTATCGATTAAATGTTTAAAAATTTGAATGGTAGTCAATTGACGAATTTATCGATTAAATGTTTAAATATTTGAATGACAGTCGATTGACGAACTTAATGATGAATATTCGAAAATTTATATGACAATATCGATTATATATATTTGTATATATACGTTTTAAATTGTTTTTGTTAGATCGCTCGTTTTCTGTTTGTTGCAGAATATACTTCCATTCTAGGCTTGGTCTTGTCTCTCTAGATAGCGGGGCTGGGATGCGTCAATAGTTGGCTTACTGGTCTTGGTCATCGAATCTCGTTCTCGTTCGCAATTTAAGTGAACTAGTGATAGTTTTAACCCTAACAGGGACTCTTAACAATCATTCTCGGTTGTTGTACTTGTTCAAGAAAACGAGTAATCCATATTTTTCCGAACGAAGATATATATTTCGTTATTTTTCTTAATGTACAGACAAAGTAACTGTTATACCCGATAAGAATAATGAGTGGTAAATTTTGGGATCTATTTATGGATCAATGCTGTGCGTATATTTTTGTCGTATGAATTGTTAATTAACTAAACTATTCATATTCATGTCGCTCCTATGATGATATGATGTAAAGAAAAGTCAATGCAGTATTCAGTTTTGTTTTCTCGTATAGTGCTTTATTCTGTTTAATATACGATATTCTTGTATTCCGTTGACTTGAACTATGCTCAGTATGTCATTTGTTATAACTCTGAGTATTTTTCATACATGTGATTTCATCATCATCATCAACATCATCATCATCATCATCATCATCATCATCATCGTAGTCGTCGTCATTGTCATAGTGTTTTGGGGCTAATAGATCTTCACTTATACCAGTCTTTGTGTTGTTACTTTTGCGACGTGGGAATTGCAGAGGTCCCTCGTTCCAAGTATAGGTGATCAGCGTTTTTCCGGCACAGCAATCAGCGAGGACCAAACATAACAGCAATCTGTAAAAGACTTCAGTAGATTCATTAATTATGTAGTTATGACCAGTGGAGTTCATCCGCATCTGTTGTGAGGCAGTGACTCATTGAAGACAATAGTGGACGGTGGCGCAATTTCGCGGATTGGTTGAAATTAGACATTAACACCGCTAGTTGCTGGCTCATTGGTCTACAGATTGAGCGCGAGACTGATAGGTCATGGATTCTGATCCTCAGGGCGGGATCGTAGATGCACATTGCTGAGTACTCCCATACTAAGAAAAAATGGCTGTCCAGTGCTTTCAGGTTTTCCATAGTGATCTAGCTTTAATTCACTCGTGAACTTCACTATTAAATTACTACAATCTCCACAAAAACCTCTTCTGATAATTATTTATAACTTATCAAGTTATCAATTAAACAGTTTTTTCTCGTTAAAACCTCCAATATTTTTATATACACAGACAGATTCTGTTTAAAACACGACTGTGAAATGTTTGAGGAAGAGCAAACAAGTTGGTCTGCGGAAATCTCAAAGTTTTATGTATTAATAGGATAACTAAACGCAAGATACTCAATGTCCGTCGTACCGATACCATTAGTAGCAACTTACTGTGCACATACTTTGCGTAAAGTATCAAACCGCATCATGAAACAAGCTCTAACTTTGGATTGTGAAAGGAAAACAAAAAGAGGAAGATCTCAGAATACATTTCTTGGGGAATCGTAAATAGATATGAAAAAGATAAATATCATTTGGAACCAACTGGAAAGGATTATTCAGAATAGAGTTTGATGGAGAATGCTGTTGAGTGGTCTATACTCCTCGACGAGGTGTTATAAGAGTTTAACTATTAAATTATAAATAATTATTTTAATAAAACAAAATTATCTTCCTCCTATGTATATCCATTAAAAAAAAGTGAATGTTATCAATTATATTTAATATATATTGTTAATTATAATTTGTCCTTCTTACAAATTTCGTGTACTAATCGAAAGTTCAATGCAGATATCAGATTGTATATTACGTTAGTTAGTTCATTGGTTATTTAGTATTTCAACTGTTAGAATATTTAAATAACCTCATTATTTCAATGAAAAAAAAATCTTTTTTTTGTTGTTGTTGTTGTTTTCTGTAATAAATTTTTTTTGTACATTATTTTAATAAATACACGTTCTGTTTTGTATCCTAGTGAAACTTTATTTATTTATTTATTGTAATAAATTAAAAAGAATTCATTTAAATAATAAGTAAGTAAGATGATTATAACCTAGGTGATTAGTTTGTTTTATATGATTATTTGTTTAAATTATCTGATCGAATATATAAGTATGTCAACGATATAATAGAATGATATAAAAGTATATTAGTAAATGTATTTTATAATATTATGTATATTACATTACTATAACTATAGTAACTTTTAACTTTCCCTAAACAAGTGAACTTTTTTATTTGTTATTCTTACTGATAATATCAGAGTAAAGACCATATATATATATATATATATATATATATATATATATATATATATATATATATATATATATATATATATATATATGCATAAATATAAACTTTGAAGTAAAAGAAACTATACACAAAAAATAATGTTTAACATGGATCTATATACTAATTGGACAGAATTAACATCACCTTGGGATTTATTAATTGATTGTATATTATTAAATGAAGGATATCCAAATGCTAGTAATACATTATGTATAGTATCAACAGCATTTGGTGTAATAATGGGTTATATATTTCCATTTATTGGTATATTTAATATTATTGGTAATTGTATTATTGTTATAATATTTCTTTATTTAATGTTAAATTATAATAAACAATTTATATTTTTAGGTCTATTAGCTATTTCAGATATTGGAATTATTATATTTGTTGGTTGGTTAAGATTATTTCCAACATTTGGTTTACCATATGTATCGTCAGGAACAATTTATTATTTTATGTTAACTAAATCAAATTTAAATTGTAAAATATTAACATTTTTTCAAGGATTTTTTTGTACCCTTAGAGGTAATATATTTATTTTATTAGCAATTGATCGTTTTATATTAATATATAAACCATTAATTTATAATAAATTTTCTAATAAATTTAATTGGTTATTAATATTTATTATTATTATATTAACAATAATTATAGTATTACCATTTACAATATTAGCTAATATAGTAGAAGTACGTCAATTAACTGTATGTTGGTTTATAGATGATACAAATTATTTATTAATACATCAAGCATTATTATCAAATACATGTCCAATACAATTATCACTTGTAACATTATTTGATTTGTTTTTTTCAATAAAAGTAATTAAATGGTCAAATAAATTAAAACGAGTTGATCGGTCATCATCATCATCATCAGTATCATCATCAGTAGGAGCATTATCAACATCATCAACATCAACTACTGAAATAAATATTTCACTTATTGTTACTATGCTTATATTACAAATTGTTGCATTTTTATTTTCATTACCTAATAGTATTGTTTATTTAATATCATTAACAATTGATTTTCAATTAATTAGTTCAGATATTGTACGTTTATTAGTAATTACTAGTAATATGTCATGGAATTTAATATTTTTTCAATCATCATTTAATATTTTTATATATTATTATCGTATACGTAAATTTAAACAATTATTAAAACAATTAATTAAATGTAATTGTCAAAAATTAATTCAACAAAATAGTACAATAATTAATCGTTGATAAAGAGAAAAAAAAAACGAAAAAAAATTTTTTTGTTTGTTCTCGTTTCTAAGATCAAATTGATTATGTGTTTTTGTTTTAAATATTGAATTTATGTATTCAAGTAGAAATTGAATCATGAATGATGAGAAATCATAATATTGATCTAGAAGAAATAATTATTAGAAGTGTAGAATTTTTTTTCTTATTTTTTCTATTTCATAATAAATTGTTGATAATTACAAGTAGTATATAAACAATTATTGAATATAATTGAATGGTATAGAACATTGATAAATATATGATAGTATATTAATTAATTTGTTTAAAGAATTGATTGTAATTTGAATTTAGTTTTGTGAATCTTTCTTCTTGTTTTTATTTAAATATAGACTTAGTACTAGAGTATACTTGGTTTTATTTACTCTATAATAATAATAATAATAATAATGCTATTTAGAATTATAAAGCTGGTAAGAGTAGTATTTCGAGATGAAATAAAAAAATACATCATCAATTTCTTTGTAACTTTCACCTTTTTTTACAAGATATATATGTTATATCTCGATGAGAATAATGAATGGTAACTGTTGGGATCCATTTATGGACCGATACTATGCGTATATTTTTTTTATCGTATAATTATTAAATAACTAAACTATTCATATTCGTGTTCCTCTTATGATAAGCTTTATTTTGATCTATGAACTATTATTATACGATTTGCCATTCTTGAATTATGCCTAGTCTATTAATTGCAGTCTCCCACATTCACAGCCACTTTTGGCTAGATCTTATACAAATGTTATTTTCTATTTTATGGTACGATGTGGTCTGTTTGGTTTGTATATAAACCAGGTATGTTTGAAATACATGATTCATATCACAGAGGCTGAAACTGGTGTTCAGGACTTAACAGGCTGAGCTAGACAGGAGGAAGGACGGATAAGGACTCTAGAATGCTCGTACGGGTTTATGCATCATTGGAAATGAATGAATCATTGAATCAATTCAGCGACTAGTAGTAAAGCTAGCAGAATGAATGTATGAGTAGGCAGTAAGTAATGCTCAAGCATACATATTTATACAAGTGCAACAATAATAAAGGTACAATCATATAGATAAGTTATTATTGTACGGATGACTCAGTCCGTTAAATAAGTTAACAAAAGGACTTAACCGAATTAAATGTGAACAAGCTCACTTGCACGTGAGTTGCTATAAAGTAAGTAGATAAGGTGTTGTTGTTGATAACACACTGACTCAGAGAATATTGATTGTAACGCAAATAATACGTTTAAAATCCTTGCAGAGTATTTTTACTGTACAGTAGCGTGATTTCTCCGTTATTTCGTTTCGTCTTTTATTTTAACTTTTACTTAGGTCCTTTGTAACCACCCCTTAAATTCTTCAGTCTTCATCGCCTTGACCTTTGCCATTTGACTTTCGTTAAGTTCTACCTTTATTATTTAATTTTATTGTTTTATGGTGTCGTGCTCAACCAAACTCAAGATTAAGGTATAGAGTGATAGATCCTCGTCAACACACGAACACCTATTGGAAACAGTTATTTGAACCATTGCAGACAGGTATTTGATCCAACATTGTTGAGAATACTCTTACTGAATCTCGAGTACCGAACCCTCGTTTCTCAATCATTCCTTTTACTGCTTAGCACGTTACTTCGTATCAAACTAACGTCGTACGAAAAAATCACGATCTCTTTTGTTCACGCTTATACTTCTGCACTTTCAGTTCATCTGCTAAACGTAGTTATAACTAGAATTTGACACTGACGAACAGAAAACTGTCGACGACACTGACTGACTTTCTAATCCAAGTCGATGACAGTACAAATAAAGACATCAACAAATAATACACTGATTGTACTACAATTGTAATATCATGACACTTACCGCGAACTAAACGTCACTTATCTAAGGAACTCAATCACGTGTCAACTTTATCTTTTTCAACACAACAGAACTTTAAAAAGTTATATTATTCATCAATATGTCATTGTAAATTGCTTTACATTTAACAAACTTGTAAATCATGCGTTTAAGCGGATCGACAACATTCCTAGATTCACTATTATTTTCTGCTTTCTGACCACCTACATACGCTTTCTTTCCATTTGTCTTCTAGCTAAGCAGTACTTACAGGATTCTTATAGATCGTTTGGTAATCTCCGGCGCCCGAGTCGCCCTAACGTGTTGGGCACCAATTCACGCATCCGTTGAATATGGTGGGGGAATAAAATACCACTGGGTCCTAGTCAAGTCGTCCTGCAGTCGGATCACTAAATACCGAACTGTTTACAGATCTTCGTCAAGGTTAAGGACAGCCAACACGCATCAGTCAATTGCATGCCATGTGGTAGTGACCACACTCTGTTTCTCGCATCTATTCCTACTAATAAATTTCCGTTAGGATGTCCTTTGCGCTGTACGGTTATCAAAGTAATCATAGTATCTGGATACGACGAAAGAGTAATTGACGTAACGTACCAACCCTGAAGTGTGACTTCCATGTAGGGTAGGACGTCACACCGTTCCCGTCCAACTGGAGTAGGCCCGAATCATTCACATAGATCGCCTAAATTACTGATTTACAAATCCTCCAAAAATATTCACATTTTCTTATAAAGAATCGTACCAGTAAAAATGAGTGGTGAGTGCAGTTGGTTATCGTTTGTTTGCGTACCTGAACTACAGAAACAGGCTGCGAAGTGCAATTTTGGAGGCTAGTTAGAAATCCAGCTTTCTGGTCGAATGATTGCTAAGATAAATATTCAGAATTCCGAAACGATTAATTCAAGTAATTAGAACAGGAAGTATTAACTATAAGGCAGTGAAAGAGTCCGATTTTCAGCCAGTGTAAACTTCTGATACTTTGCTCAGCTGTCTTGATGAATTACACTCTCAGGGTCATCCAGCCTCCAGTCGGTCTGTACTGAGTCATGTTCTTATGGAAATATGACAAATGATTGAACAAAGAATCATGAAGCAGGTCACAAATGTAAACACAAGTCCTGTGGTAAATTTCATCCATGTAATTAATGATTCTCGGGTTATTTTTAAAGCTTAAAGTGTGGCAGAATCGGAAACATTGAGTCTGTGTATAAAACAATTATTTATTTCGCCGCTATTATAAATAAATTCTGTAATTTTGATCCTAATAATTTCGGTGGTTCTAATGATCACATACTATTCTTATTTACAGCTTCGAGTAATTCACTTCATATTCAATAATGGTCATCCTTGTTCAGTGGTGCTTTTCAGGATTTTGTTATTGACAATGACAATATTAAATCTACCGTTTTAGTGGGAAAATCGTAGTTATTTAGCCTCAGTGGTATAATTATAGTTTCTAATTAAAGCATTTCTGGTCAGAAACTGTATATTCTAGGGTGTTGTAATTTGATGACTAGGTACGACAAATCTCCATATATAAATCGTGAATTCCTCATCATTGACTGTGGATCATCTATCCTAGGTCTAGAAATGAAAAATTCTCCTTATTGACCACTGATAATGGTTCTAATGAAATATTGGGGGACTTCTCAAATATAGGATCGAAGTGTGACAATTCGCTTACAACCGCAGTGCCCAACTACTTTGATGCTCAGACAGAAAATGTCGAGAACTTGAGGACAAAAACCAAGTCTATTACTGCCGCAAATTTAAAAATACAGAGTAGGGAACAGACAAAATCTTTCAGTGCCGGATTGTCAGACTGTGTGTTAGAGAGACAATAATAAAATTGCCCAAACAAAAAGACGTTCTTTTAATTGTGGAGATTTCACAGCCTTCTGGTGTTACATGCTGTGGGTGAACTGATTTCTTACGGTCTATGAAAGGTTTGCTAAAAATGGTTGATAAAACTATGGTTCATATGTAAGTCAGTAACAACAGCCGAATACGTTACAAGGACCCGGGTGAGCCTGTTCCAATATCCGTCGTTGATTCTAATGCTGGTGAGTACATTCTAGATCATTTAGAGTCCAACACGACATACAGCCGAACAGACACATAATGGATCTGACAGTAAGACACATACTAGATCTCAGGAATCTGGATTCACACTGAAGCTGTGGAAGTCGTAGTACTTGCACTAACTGGTGATTCCTTTTTACTTGATTTCCCAAATGCAATACATTCAATTATGCCCATCCTGCTCTTTATGCCTTAAATCTCACTGCTTCGGTAATTCTAAGCTAGTAATTCAATTTGAGTAATTATAGATATCATATTCATACAACTCACTTCTTTTAGTCCCAAATGGTCTGATTCTGTTTCTATTTATTTCCCATCATTACATTTCATTTCATTTTCAACACTTTATCTTATAATGATGAGCCTACCTTTCCCAATTTTAAATCATTATCTGTCTTCATGATGATCCTTCAAGCCCTTAACGATAAGACTGTTATTAGTTTCCCTGATAAAAAAATAATGTTTTAACACCTTTGTCCGTTCTACGTCACTGTTACCATGTTTGACGGAATTTTTTAATCACTATTATTATACTTTTATCATCTTGAAAAATAAGCTTTTATTTGTATATATATATATATATATATATATATATATATATATATATATATATCATCCATCTGTTTGGACCGTTTCTGCGTTGGGCGGATGAATGTCGAATAATTTACCAAAAGTCATCAGTCCCAAGAATACCCAATGTAGATTAAATAATGCACACTTTTGGCCGACTTTATAGCCGTTTCACTCTTTCGTACTTTTTTGATCTTTGACTGTGACACACTACTTTTGTAAGATTATATTTGTTTTAGACACTCATTAAGTAGGCTTCTCAGCAAGTTATCACTATAGATCAAACCAGATTACGTGCTCGGAGCTAGATGTGACTTCAACTTAAGCTATCACGTCACGCCATTTCTGTCCAACTCAAGTGGACTTCACCGTCTACATCGATAATCTATAATGCAAATCTATAAAATCCATGTTATCTCGGGACGTTCTTGTGGTTGTCCCCGTTACAGATAA